AATAGAGTCCTATGTCAAGTCCTGTATCTCAAGCTCTGGTACTAAAAATATTCTAAATGGTTAAATTGTAATATTTTCGAGTCCCAAAGTTGAAACAAGAGGAAAGAAATGCGCTCCCGGAACAACCTTCTGCACTCCACACCCTCCTTTCTCTGCCCGCGTTTTATCGAGTCTAATTCATTGTTTTCTACGCCGTGATCTTTTAGCTTTACGCTACGCCATTATGGTTTATTCTACGACGTTTTGCTCCCAGCCACGGATATCCTTATGCGCTCGTTCTTTCTCTTCTCGCATTCCCTCGTTCTTTAGCATTCTTTTTTCCTCTCGCTTTACTATTATGTACCCCTCAGTTTTTCCCTTTTTTGGTTCTACCTTGTTTAATCAGTGTTATGTTGCGAGTCTTCATGGCTTTAACATTTGCTCTCAGAATTTACTCGGACTGATTTGTTCTTGAAATTTTCAATCAGGCATGTATAGTTCGAAAGTTTCCGTATCGAAGCTTGAAGAGGAATATCGTATCAGAAATTTCAGCGCTTCATTCCGTTCGGATTCTGTCACTGCTGAAGGTTTTCGAGACCTTTAGTTTCCTATGTAGGTTAGTGACTCTTCAATATTCCAGATAGCTTCGGCAAAGTTTCGGATTGTACAGAAAAAGCTGGCAGAGGAACTCGATTGAATTACTGTACTAATCCACCGAACAGTTTCTCCTTTACGAACTTAATATTTGAAATGGATGCTTTGAAACACGTGCGAGCAACTTTTTGTACTGCATATATTTTAGCATAATACTTTGCTCCTGAATTATCTTGATGAAACGGAGTCTTTCGATCACTGTAGCTTTTGCTGATATTTCTTAATTTAACTCTTTACCTTATAATAACGTGACGCACTCGTGATGCACGTTGCAGTTCTGTTACAATAAATTATGATACATCAAAATTATCACAACACGACTGATTTAGAAGTTCAATATCAACTCCAATTAAGGGTCTCTAAATTAAAAATACACCGAACAGTTAAATTTTCCTTACTTGTCTTAACATCGGAGGAATAATTAGCTCTGACGGCGGTTTTTCGATCACTGTAGCTTTTGCTGATATTTCTTAATTTAACTCTTTACCTTATAATAACGTGACGCACTCGTGATGCACGTTGCAGTTCTGTTACAATAAATTCTGATACATCAAAATTATCACAACACGACTGATTTAGAAGTTCAATATCAACTCCAATTAAGGGTCTCTAAATTAAAAATACACCGAACAGTTAAATTTTCCTTACTTGTCTTAACATCGGAGGAATAATTAGCTCTGACGGCGGTTTTTCGATCACTGTAGCTTTTGCTGATATTTCTTAATTTAACTCTTTACCTTATAATAACGTGACGCACTCGTGATGCACGTTGCAGTTCTGTTACAATAAATTCTGATACATCAAAATTATCACAACACGACTGATTTAGAAGTTCAATATCAATTCCAATTAAGAGTCCCTAAATTAAAAATACACCGAACAGTTAAATTTTCCTTACTTGTCTTAACATTGGAGGAGTAATTAGCTCTGACGCGGTTGCTAAAGAAACCTCGAGTTAAGGGGTTAAATGAACGTCGTCCATTACCGCATCATTTAGTAGAGATTTCTCTTGAATTTTCATCTCCTATTTCTCTTGAATCTCTCTCTCGTAATTTGCAAGATTTTCCTGATAACAATTTTCAGGACAATTTTTAATTTGCTACCGGTAAATTACATTCGGAGTTGTTGCAAACGCAAAGCTTATACCGTGTTAGAATTACCAGGTACGAATGCGTTAATCCAGTTTCTGCCGGTCGTATCAGCCTCGAACGCGTCGAATATCGATCCCCGCGATCGACTACATGCCGCTCCATTTAGATCGCGCGGTCGTTTCAATCCGCTCGCGTAATTCTCGTTTCTTTCGCGCGGTAGTCGCAACAGGTTGCGCGATATCGCGGATTTTTACCCGCGCCGCTAAATTATAGCCCCGCTTCTATCGGAAGAGGGTTGGCCTAGCCTCGGAAGCTTTCAGACGAGATGCTGAAACGACTCGAAAGAGAGTGCTTTACCCGCGATACGTTCGTATAGGGCTTGTTAATTACAAAAGTGGCAGAACAGGATCGAGGGACGCCGGAGAGGGAAGAGAAACGATCGACGCCGTTTTCTTCGCCGACCGATCTAACACGATCCATAAACGCTTAATAATGCTCCGATAAGATAAGTAATTGAATCGGTTCAATACGATCCAAATAGACGCTCCATCATTCTTGGTCGAATTTAGTCGACGAATTTGCAATTCATATTTTAATAGTCAAGAAGCTGGATGAAGCGGTTTATCCCAGACCACTATGTGATACTTCTAACAATTGCTACTGATTCATTTTTAATATCTTGTTTTCACTATTTAATCGCTCAGATTGATAAGTCCATGTAGGTACCTCGAAAAGGGTGAGTCTCTTCTGACTGGTGTAGCTCTTGCAACCGATTGCTATTTTATAATCAAAATACATGCAATCCAAGAGTAGTCTCTCTGGAAGACATTTCTGTTCAGCATCTTACCACTCACCTTGTGAACTTAAGATTGAACATTCGATTTGATGAAACTTCAAATTCCCCTGAATTTTGATCCACATGCTTACTGACCGCACATATGTGCTGTCCACATATATAATACTTTAGTAGATTAAATACGATGAATTTCCTAAATTAACTAGCTCTGACCTATTCAACTTTTGACCCATTTTACCTGTTCCATTCATGCAAACTTTGAATAATTTCTTCTGAGTAATTTGTTAATACAAATGCATCGAACAGACCTTTTAATACCGTGACAATCAAACTTGTATTGCGTTTAAGAAAAACACGAAGCAATCACGAAATCCCATTTCCAGTTGCATAATTTGAAAATGTTGAAACTAGATACCCTGGTAAAACAATCTCAGCATAATGAAAGTTGGACGAGTCGATACGCATCGATATCTCCCATCTTGGTGTAACTGGGTCAGAAACATTGTACGTTTACACGATTACGGGGTGGAAAATGACGGTGCACAATGGAAATTCCTGCCGGCATCGAGAGCAAAACCGCAGAACTCGTTCGCGGGGGTAACCTCTTCCATAATTCGCGCAATCGCCATCGCCGCTATCGTGACACATATTTGCGTTATTCATAATGACCCGTCGGATTCTATTGGCCGTCGATGAAATTGGCCGTCGAGGGCGGCGATTACGCGCAATCATAGATCGCGTATTGCATATCAATGCGAAATAACATTCCGCGATCGAAATCCTCGCTGAGACTCCGCTCGCTGGCATTTAGGTTGATCTCTAATCCGCTCTTCGATCGATCGAAGATTACTCGCTGTCCGTGATGAATTTCAAAGGCCACAAATCGAATTAAAATGCATAATCATTAATATCGAATTAAATGCAAATTTATCGGCAGGCACTGATTGTTCTTATTTTTGTATATTTGTTTATTATTATAGAGAAACATGTCAATGATCGAGCCATGTGGAAATGATCGAAATAATGTATACATTTGGATCAAGTAACCAAAGATTTATATAAGTGTTCTTACATAAAACTATTGTCTGAGAAATAATTTGAAATTGATCCTAAAGAGCAATATTACTTAAAGAAATATTTTAATTTCACATCACATAGACAATTTCATTTAAGAAATTTTAAACATATTAAACAGTGTAACATATTAAAACAGTGTATTACAAATTTGCTTAAAGTGTCAACAGTTAAAAGAGAGCCAGTACATAAATATAAATTTGGGTGAAGTACGAGTCTCGCTAACATTTTCTCCGGTCTAGCTACATTTTCGGAAGCCTACTCGAACGAATTCGAAAGGGTAGTTTCGAGATTAAGTTGCAGTAGGAAAGTTTGCCGTCTAGTTTAATTCGATTATGACGATCGGTCCGAGAGCCCGGAACTTCCTGTTTTATGTAAATACTTGGCTACTCGAGGAGTATGCAAATGGAATTTCCTCGATGTCGGTGTTCGTTCGGATGACCGAATTGTTGGCTCGTAAAATCCGTGAAATGCATCCTCGCCGATTGTCGTGTAACTTTCACGGCTACAAACTGTTCCGTTCTGTTTGCGTTCCTGTGCAACGAAAAAAAAATCGACCGGGTAGCTTTGTAATCGAGGGAAAAATATTAGACACGGTACGTGTTCGAAACGAATTTACCGGGCTGGAAAAACAATTACGAAGTCGACACAGCGCTTTCAATTACAACGCGCGAGTGTTACTGTTTATTCCGTTGGTAGACTTTGAGAAGCAATTACGGCGACGAATCAATTACGCCATTCGAACGGCAACGACCCGAACCGACTCTGTTTCCCTGCGTTGCGTCGTGTTCTGTCTCGCGCAAACAATGTCGTCGTTGCTTTCGCTACGCGAACGATCAAAGACGGAGGTAAGTTCTCCGTACGGTTTCGGTAAACTATCTGATTTCTATTACAATGAGCCGGTGCATTACTTATTCCGTTGATGTAACGGTAACGAAACGTGATGACAATGTAAACAGACGTGACTCGATTAGCATAAGAGCTATTGTTTCCCGGTGAAATTCGCCGTGAAAACCAGCCGCCCGGAAGTGTGCACGCTTTTGCGCGCGGAATCACGCGAGAACCACGTTTCCGCTTGGGAAATGTAAATATACGATGTCTCCTCGATTAACTGTCGAGCATACCGCGTTTTTACCGTTAGAAATATTATCGATCCCATAGGAAATTCTTTAACACTTTTTTAACGCGTTTGACCGCGAGTTTGGTGAGGTCTTTCGACAACCGCGAACTACGGAACGTCCGAAATGTTATTCTTATTTTTATTATCAATGTTCAATACTCTCGAAGTGCCGTAATTTAAAAAATTCGCAAACTATATCGGTTCAAATTTTGAAGCAAATCTACGAAGGGAGAGGGACGTAATGAAAAAAGAAGCCGAAGGTGTTAAAAACATAAAAATAGAGCATTTTATTGTTCAGTCACAGGTGTTTTTATTCTAATAATATCTTTTCACGTTGTCGTTGAAAATAGTCTGCAAGAAAATACGAAACAGGAGGATCGCTTGCGACGGAAGCTGAAGGGAATATTGTTTCACGTTTGTACATTATATTTCAATTATTTATAGCGGTACTTTAGTTTCCTTGCGTGACGCGCTCCTTGAATTCGACCGTGAAATTCGAAGTGATTGGAGAACAGTATCGATCGTGTTTCGATCGATCGAATAGGACCGTCGAATTCAAGCAGAGACCTCGAATGGTACTTCATCGAGTCGAACGATTTACCACCCGACGCCAAAACGTTCCGGAACGAAATAAATAAGATATAGGCTGCGCGCATTAATACTTTACAAATATCGTGTCACGCCCACGCAGCGCGTGTTCGTTAACCCTTAACCGGTGACATAGGGTCAATACGACCCTGTCTGTTCAACCAATTGATACGACTCGAAATTTCATTTCAAATTTCATTCTCTTTTTTTTAATTCGAAGTTGTATTATTAGTTGCGATATTTAATGTAAGAAGTCCAGGTCGTATTTGACCCAATCGCACTGTTTTCTCCACCACCTGTTTTAACCACCAAGATGAAGTCCATGTTAGGGCAATATATCGAGACTAACGAGATAAACAATTCTTTATAAAACAAGTGTAAATTCCTTGTAAAATGTAAGTGACCTATATGTGTGCAGAATCATTTGCAACATAGTCACCAGTTAAGGGTCGTGTTTGCCGTCCAGTCTAAGTACAATTAAATACACATCGATAGCTACGATTAGAGGAAGTGGTATCACTGTTGGCTCGGTAGCTCGAACGATATTGGACGACGAAATTTGACCCGTGTTCGACAGTTTCATCGAAAATCATTTCCGAATCGTTGCTTTACGAATTGCCGAGGCCACGTCCAAATATTGTTCGATTCTACGAGCCTCGAACGACGTACAATACCAGGAATATTCATTGCATCACTCGAATATTAAATCCGTCGACTGCCATAAAAAAGGGAAATAAACGATGAAAAAGTGACGTATGTGGCAACGCACATATTGATACAAGTTATTATGGATAGAGTCGTTTAAAACTTTTCAGGGCCGAAGATTTAAAATTGTAATGAAAAACTATTAAAAAAATATTAACATCGTTTATTGAGTAATATCGTGTTTTCCCTTTGAATATCTTTCCAGTTTATTATTCGAAATATTTTAATAACGTAGCTCAGTAAAAGAATAATATTCCGAGTAATTGAAAACACAGTTTCATGTAAAAACATGTATTTATTTTTATCGTGATTGTATACGAGTCATTTAATATTAATTATATTGCCGTAATGGTGATGCAATAAATATCTCCGTTACTGTACAATTAGTGTACGAATATTTTATTTGTTCGTACAATATGGCGCGTCGAGCGTGAAGCCTAGTTTACATTGATAGAGTAAATAATAGAATATCGGCTGACATAATTTGCCTGTTTCTTCTAACTTTAATACTCCATCAATCACTTGTCTAATCGTTTATGTAAGTGAATTTTACCTTCCGATTTGCTCTACCAATGTAGACTTTAAGCCTAATTTACACTGGCAGAATAAGCAGGATAATAGCAGAAATTTTTGCTAGCTTTACTCCACTAATTACCCGTGCAATAAATTCCCTCCGTACCGATGCAAACCGATCCTAATCGCTCGATCTCGAACACAGTTTACATTGGGTGGGCAAATTATACCGTACGCTATTCCATTTTTGTTTCTATCAATCACTTGTCCGATAAATTCTACTCTACCGATGCAAACCAGGTTTCGACGATTTCAATCGCTCGACACAGATTCGAAGTTAGTCGATGGAGCAAACGATTTTCAGTATTCCATAAAGTAGTGAGCAGATTTTTCCAGCCAGACTCTACCATTTAGCAATGTAAACCAGGCTTAAAGAGTTGACGCGTCCAGGTACGAGAAACGCGTCTCGTTCGACGAGACGGTAACGCGCACCGTTTAAAACTAAACCGTGAGCTCGATCAACTGGGAAACACAGTCTTAGAGACGCAGAATAACCGGCAAACGTATTTACAACGACATTAAGCTATCTAGCAAACTCACTGACTCGCTGCAATTTACAGACACACCGGGGACGTACAGAGTTCTCTCGCGTGTATCCCCTCGTGCGTGTTCACGAAGGAAGCACCTTAAATATCGTATAATCACTGTCTCCTCTCCTTCGCCGTTCTCTCCCTCGCTATTTACAAAACACTTTCCTCTGGTTCACGTTCGGCGAGCGCACTTCGCTTTGTTCGGTTCTTCTTCAACATTTATACATCCGTATCCTCGCAGTATTTACACTCTACACACCGTATTGCACCGTGGTGAGACGCACTCGCGTACGAATCTTCCTCGACGACGCCCACTTCTCGCGCACGATCGCACCGGAAAAAGCATTTACGGCACACATACACACATACACGCACACCGGGTCATGGATGAACGGGGAAAAAGATGTTCATATGTGCACGGAGACGGTACGCGATCCGTTGGACGTCCTGTTGTTGTGCTGCCGTCGGACAGGCGGCGGTTGCCTCGTCCTCTGCGTGGTCCTCTGGTTGTTGGGCACGTCCGGTAACGCGAACCGCAGCTTCTCCCAGAACAGTTTGTCTCCCCATTGCAAGTAGGTGTTGGTCTTCAGATACAGTCTAATGTCCGGATCGAGATCTCGCTGGTGCACGTCGCCGACCAGCACCAGGATCAGCCTGCGCCTTCGGTCCCTCAGCACCTGGTGATGAGCGGACTTGAAGTCGAACCGGCACCACTCGGACTTGATAAAGTTCTCGGACAGCACCATGATCGTTCTCCTCGAGGACTCGACCGCCTGGACGATCGTGTCCGCTATGAAGCTTCCAACTGGAAAGTCTCGATAGTGCAGGCACAGTTTGTACGAGGGGTTCCCCATCTCGAGGACGGGCGCGAGTTCCTCGGCGACGAACGCCTCGTCCTTGGAGCTGTAGCTGACGAACGCGTCGAACAGCTTGTCCCGGTCGTCCCGATCGACCTCGTGGTTCCTGTAGAATATCCGCACGCCGAAACGCGAGTGAAACCACACGCGCAGCTCCTGGCGAAACACGAACGCCAACATGCACAATAGCACCACCAGTAACGAGCCGACCAGGGTGGCGACCAGCAGCGGGAGGTAGTCCTGCAGCAGCTGCTTCTCGATGATGGTCTTCGTGTAGTTGCGGTGCAGCTCGTTCTCGATGCTGGCCGAGCCCGTGCACACGCTGTCGTTGTTTTTCTCGCGGTCGCCGTTCGCTCCGACCGAGAAACCGAACTCGTTGTCCGCGAACACCTCGTCGCCGAACGCCTCGAACTCCGTCACGTTGTACACGCAGCGCAACGCGGACGCGTCGGTCACGCGAACGTTCGGCTCGCGGATCCACTCGCGGTAGTTCTGCAAGTAGTCGCACTCGCAGGACCACGGATTCCCGGACAGGCTGATCTCGATCGAGCCCGGTAACGTCCACACGGCCAGCGTGGTCAGTCGATTGTTCTCGAGCCGGAGGAGTCGCAGCGAGCGCAGGGACGAGAAGGTGTCGTTGCCGATCGAGACGATTCGGTTCCGTTGAAGGTGTAGCTGTTTCAACGCGTCCAGTCCCTCGAACTCGTGGCCGCGCAGCTCGCGGATCCTGTTGTCCTGCAGGTGCAGGTCTTCTAGATCTCTCAGTCCGTTGAACGATCGGTTCTGCACGATCTCGATGTTCGAGGAATTCAGGAACAGGACTTTCAGCTTCTTGCGACCGATGAAGGCGTGACTGGACACCACGCGCAGATCGTTTCCGTCCAAATAGAGTCGCGTCGCGTCCATGGGTATCTGCTCGGGCAGTTTGTTCGCGTGGCCGCCGTTCGAGCAGTCCACCACGTTCGCCGACCACGATTGGTCATGGTAACACGTGCAGTTCAACGGACAGGTCATCTCGCAGTCGCAGGCGTCAAAGTCGCAGCAATGGCACAGAGCGAAGCAGTGAGTGTCGTACCTGCAGAGGAATTGCGAGTGCGACGCTTCGACCAGCGGCACGAACGCGTGTTCCCGGTCGTAGAGCAGCTTGCAGTAGATGCTCTCCAGGTCCATGACCCGCGGCTGCACTCGACTCTGATTCTGCCGGTTCACTCGTTGCAGCCATTCCATGGTGCAGTCGCACAGGTATTGGTTGTCGCCGATGTAGAACTCCGGTAGAGGTTTGTCGGGTGGCACGGCGCTGATTCGTAACGCGTACGGTTCCAGGTTGCGTATTTGGTTGCCCTTCAGGTCGACTCGCGTCAGGTTGGGTTTCTTGAAGAACGAATAACTCTGCACCTTCGAGATCTGGTTGTCGTTCAGGTACAGTCGTTCCACGCTCATCGGGATCGCGTTTCCGGTGATCTCGGTCAGCTTGTTCTCGCTGGCGTCGAAGGTGCTCAACTGCAGTTGGCTCTCGATCTCGAAGTAGTTGCCCAGCTCGCGTATCTCGTTCGAGTGTATGTCCAGCCACTGTAAGCCGGTCGGTATCATCGCGTAGTCGAACCATTTCAGTTTGTTGTCGCTGACGTTCAGCCAGACCAGGTTCGGCAGATTGGTGAAGAGACCCGCGATGTCCGTCAGTTGATTACCGTCCAAACGGATCGCTTGTAGATTCAGGTTCTCGTCGAACGTGCCGGGCTCGATGTACTGTATCCGATTCATCGCGAGATTCAATATCTTCAGCTCCTTGATACGATCGAATACGCCCTTGGTCAGATTCCCGATATGATTTTCGGTTAATCGAAGCCCGTACAACTGCGCCACGTGGTCGAACGTGCCGGTCGGTATCTCCGAAATGAGATTCTCACCGAGGTCGAGGGTTCGCAGAAGGGGAGTGGCTTTCAACGCGTCCGGAACGGACTTTAGCTGGTTACGGTTCAGGTGGAACTCTTGCAGGGAGGAGGCATTTCTGAGGGAGCTCGGGTGTATCGTGTGCAGACGATTGTTGTCCAGCGAGAGCAGATTCAGCACGTAAAGTCCGCTCAGCGTGGTGGCGTCGATAACGGTCAGTAAATTATCGCTGAGCAGCAAGGTGTGAAGATTATAGAGCGCCGAGAACGTGTTCTCGGGAAGGCTCTCGAGCAGATTCTCTTGAAGTCGGAGTATCTGTAGGCTGTAGAGGTCGCGGAACACCGTCGGATCCAGTCGAGCGATACGATTGTTGGAAAGATCGAGCACCACTAAACGTACCAAGCCACCGAACGTGGCCGCGTTCACCCACTCGGCGGTCAGTTCGTTATGCGACAGATCGAGCACCAACAACTGAGTCAGTTCACCGAACAAACCGGGTGGCAGCACGTTCAACGTGTTGTTCCTCAGATGAATCTCCTGGATGTTCCTGGCGTCGCTGAACAACTCGGGAGGAAGGCTGGCCAATCGATTGTCCGCGAGCCTCAAGATGGCCAACGAGGAGAGACCCTCGAACGCGCGATCCGCCATGAAGCCGATGGCGTTGCATCGCAGATCGAGGCTGTGCAGCCGCGAGAGACCCGAGAACGCGGCGCTGGGTAGCGTTTCGATGCTGTTGTTGCTCAAGTCCAACTCCTTCAGGTTCGACAGGCATCTGGCGGCGCTGTTGAAGCGGAAACTCGTCACCTCCCGCAATCGGTTCCTCGTCAGGTTCAGGATCTCGAGATTCGCCAACGGACACAGAGCACCCTCCGGTATGCTCCACATGTTGTTCTCGCCCAGATCGAGTTTCTCCAATTGCCGCAGCTCGTCCGTGAACGCGCCGGCCGACACGTCCAGCGCCATCGCCGACCAGTCCGTGTTGTGCGTCCTCACGGTCAAATTACGCAACTCTTTCAGTCCTTTGAACGCATCGTCGGACAGGTTACCGATCTTGCAGTACTCGATTACCAGTTCCCGCAGCTCCACCAGCGGTCTGAAGCTACCGGCGCTCAGCGAGCTCTGATAGAACAACGCGTCGCTGCACTCCAACCGCAGTCGAACGGTGTGCTGCGGCTGTATCACGCTGAAGTTGGTGTTCTCCAGCTCGCTATTGATGGTCCTCAGACGACAGACCAGCGACACGTCGTCCTCGGTGTCGCCGGTCGCGACCCATTTGCACTCGTCCGGCGCTTTGTACCTGAGCGCTTTGCTGAGGGAAGCGCCGAGGACCCCGAATATCGTGCCCAGTAATATGGCGAAGAACGCAGGACTGCCCCGCATCTTTCCGCCGCTGGTTCTCTCAATGTCCCATGAAAATCTCGCTCAGTTGCTCGCGGTTTGCACCGGGGCAGCTATCTGTCGCGAAACCGGCCGCGATCCATTTAAGTCACGGTACCACCGGTTCTTTCTACCTCGCGACGTCCATGCCGATCCCGCTTCCGCTTCTTTCGCGTTAATCCCACCTTTCGATCTCTTCCGAATGCCGAACCGTTACAATCCTGGAGATTTCATTTCTCGA